TTTTTTTGGGCATTTTTGCCTTTATTATGACAGGACAGATCAGACAGTCGGGACTCGAACTCGGGACACCCATAGTGTAACCGGTGCTGTATGTCGGCACGCTGCCCACAAGGCTACCAGCACCGACGATTATATATTGTTGATAGTGAAAAAAATATTAGCGTTAGGAAATTAAGCATCCTAAAACGAAATTAAAAACAAACAGACTGCAATACTTATTTGTTGAGGGTATGAGGGTATTGTACAATAGGGTGTGTGGTGGGATTTGGGGCCAAAAACATATAGCTTTATTTGTTAAAAGTGAGGGAATACAAATGTAAGAATCTGTTATGACACATGAAAAACTGAGGTGAACTGCAAAGACCTGTCAGAGTAATATTTAATTTTTGACAGGAATGAAAACAAGACTGTGAGGAACTGAAAATTATGTGATATGGGCCCTTTATATGGTGTGTGCCATTGTAAAAATTTTAAGTCTATCCATCACTGCTGTGTTAAATTCAATATGGCATCTAACCTGACTACTGGCCGTTTGAGGTGAACTTGATGGCATCAGTTTACTCACTAGATTAAATTGTTTTAAGTGAATGGGTTCTAACTATTTCAAACTATGTGTGAATGTTGGCATGTCTCTAGTTCTCGTAACCATGTGCTGCTTAAAACATTTAGGTTTAAGCAGCACTGTCCAATCCTGGTCCTGTAGGGCCACTTTCCTGCAGAGTTTAACTCCATCCAGCCCCAACACATTTGCCTAGAAGTTTCTAGTAATACTGAAGACCTTGATTATCTGATTTTATTTTTTGTTAAACTTTTAAAAAATTCCTGTTAAATCATGTAAGTTAACCAGATATGCTTTTTGATTAATAAAATTTGATTTAACCATTAAATCAGAGTCCAGAAAAATGTTAATTAATATAAAAATAAAAAAATGGAATCCAATCCACGAAATTTTGAAAACAAACAAACAAAAAGAATTCAGGAAAAAATTAAACAAATTTCATAGGGCCATACATTCATTCATTCACATTCATGCCTTCTAATATGCGACTGGGAGTTCCACACGAGGGCAAAAAAAGTTCAAGTTGGTCATGTGAATTCACCACACTGACCAACAGGAAGCTGCTTGGTTTGAAAGTCACTTATCCTTGCTGGAGACATACCCAAATCTCTTGGTTTTCGTTACTAAGTTTCCTACAAAAAGAAGCAGTTAATGTAAATCTGATAAAAGAATCCTCACCCAGCCACCTTGCTCTGCAATCCAGTATGTTAGACGGTTGTTGACGAATCCCATCATAGCGCTCTCAACTACATTCGTCATGTCAGGGCAGTTTTTCTTCATAAAGAGTCCCAGTGTGATGGCGGCCTTGAGAAGCTGCTTCTCTGAGGCCACTTCTGTTCTTTCCACAACCCACATCTTACACAAGCTGTCCACACTATCACTGAAGGCAGTCACCACCTAGAGGACACACGTGTCAGAGGCTACAGTTGTGGTCAAACATCAAACACGTGGTTACTCTGCAATTAAGCAAAGCTTAGAGCTATCCGACCCAAACAAGAAATACTTCATACATTGAGACTGCTCAAGAAGTTTCACTTTTACTAGTTTCAGGGAAGAAAAGGAAACTGGAAGATTTCAACAGCACTGCTTTACAGCGGCCTATACAGTAATTATGAGTGGACCAGGAACAAAGTAGCACTGATTAAATATCCAATCTTCACAAAGTGATACAAATGTTCTTCAGATTAGTCGATCGGTGTCTGAAGATGATACGTTTGGACTCGACTCACCTGATCGGCTGCAGCTTTCTGTACATTCTTCATCAATGGCTGGATCACTCTCTCATCATAATCATCACCCAGTTCCCTGAGCTTTGAGGCTATTTTTACAGGGTCAAATGAGTTCTCTGCACAACAAGTAGCTTAAAATTAATTTCTGAAAGCCTTGGTTATTGTGCACTTCCATGTTTTTACAAAATACAAGACAAAATAATGTCAAGAGAGGAACATTTAAGGATGCTGTCATAATAGCAGGTTTTTTAAATTGTGTACATCATTTTAAAAAAGTGTAATCGCTAAATCAGTGTTTCAATTGCGTATCGTTACATCCTGTTGAAAAAAACAGCATATGCTGGTTAGGTATGTTTTGACGCTGGGATGCTGGTTTATGCTGGTCCTTTGTTGGTTTATGCTAGTCCTTTGCTGGTTTATGCTGGTCCTTTGCTGGTTTATGCTAGTCCTTTGCTGGTTTAAGCTGGTCCTTTGCTGGTTTAAGCTGGTCCTTTGCTGGTTTATGCTGGTCTTTTTGCTGGTTTATGTTGGTCATGTGCTGGCAAAGGACCAGCATAAACCAGCAAAAGGACCAGCAAAGGACCAGCTTAAACCAGCAAAGGACCAGCTTAAACCAGCAAAAGGACCAGCAAAGGACCAGCTTAAACCAGCAAAGGACCAGCATAAACCAGCAAAAGGACCAGCAAAGGACCATCTTAAACCAGCAAAGGACCAGCATAAACCAGCAAAAGGACCAGCAAAGGACCAGCTTAAACCAGCAAAGGACCAGCATAAACCAGCATCAAAACATACCTAACCAGCATATGCTGTTTTTTTCAACAGGGCAATAAAATCATCTTGTAAATTATGTCACATAACGTTACATTTACCTCAGAAAAGCCACTCAATCTTGAAGGTTAACGTTAGTTAACAAAAAACAAGTATTTTAATCTATACATGCACTATACTTTTACTTAAGTGTTACCGTATGTAAGGAAAAATCTGTCAGGAAAACATGTTACGATGTTTATGTAGCTATATTTGAACGTCGTACTGGAGTAGAAAATATTTGATCATTAATAGGTTGATATACGAACTGCCCCATGTGGCTTTTATTTGAGTTATGATTCATCTAAAATCGATGTGTTTCGAAAACATGGTTAGCTAACCCAATGAGTCAGCTAATTACATGCAAGGTGTTAAGCAAGTCATTGTTTACACATATGTTCTTAAGGGACATTTTCATAGAATGACTCGAATAATGCTCAGAGATCAAAGACGAACACTTACCATCTTCAGCACCATCAGGCTCCACCATATCAAAATATAGTTCATTTTGTAATAGGCAGTGTATGACGTCGTATGTTTGGTTCTGAATTTCAGCTGCCGCCATCGCGTTTACCGCTGTTACAACATTCAGATCCTGAGACATTTGGTTCCACTGGGTGGCGCCTGTATGTATATTCATATCGTGGCCATGTGCTTGAGACAACGGGCAAACTAATGGGACTGAAAATAATAAAATAACGCTCCTCTAATCGCATAGAGTAACCGCTTCCTTCCTTGTTATAATTTAACTAATATTTTTATACCCTACAACATATTTTGTTCTGAACATTCTTTAGAATATTTGTGTGTGTGTGTGTGTGTGTGTGTGTGCACTTGTACAGCTATCTTTGTGAGGGACGGTTTGAGTTTTAGACCATCGGAGTGAGGACAATCTTGTAAAGTGATGGTCAAGACTTGGTTTTAGGGATCAGGTTATAATTGGGTAAAGGGTAGGTTTAGGGTAAGGCACTTAGTTCTGATTGGTAGGTTTAGGGTAAGGAGCTAGAGATTGCATTGTGTCAATGTA